GCTAAGTCGACAAACAAAAGAAGAAAGAAGAAGAAAGAACACTTGAATTACTATACAATAAAGAGCCGAGGCATCAGTGTAGCAAAGTGTAAATCATAAAATTGGTTATAAATTCATTGGTTACATCAAACAAAAACAAAACATCAGAAAACAAGCAATAAACAAAACAAAAAAAAAACAAAATCGGTTAAAGTTCTGAAATTGGTTGATTAAAGTGTAAGAAGTTTCGGATACTATAAAAACATTTAGATTTAAGAATTAGGAACAAGCTGGTATTAAAACTTTACAAACACTTTTACAGATAGTCCAATTATACAGCGTATATACAGAGTATATACAGTTTCTCTTTCAAACAATGTGTGAAAAATTAAACTGAATTAAAACACATAGATTTAGCAAAAACGGAAATCAAGCCACGTATTTGTATTAGTACATATAGGATTGTTTCTCAATTCACTCACGTAAAATTTGTTCAATTTTTTCTTGATTCCTGTTTCGATTTTTCTAAATTGCGCAAAATTATGGGCAGTGAATTCCATTTTTTAGAAGTCAAATGAAAAAATGATTTTTGTATAGAAGCAGTCGAACAATGTTTGTCAAAAATATTTTGTTCTGTTCTTTCGTTGAGCCTATAATTGGCAGTCGGTAGTCTCAGTGTATTTTCAAAAGCCTTCTTTTTGTTTGTAAGATATTGGTATAAGTATGTTATACACAGTAACTCAATTCTTTTCTCGATTCTAATGAAAAATTTGCTAATGCTAGGAAGGGAAGAAGGTTTGTATTTCGATCTGAAATATGTTCTTCTTAGCGCCCAGTTCAAGTGTTTCTCTAGAGATAGCATCAAAGAAGCTTTAATTTGTTGTAAAAAAATTGCTGAAAAATCTAAATGTGATAAAACAAGACAATGAAGCAAGGAAACCAATGATAATGTCGGCAGTTCTTGTCCAATTGTCTCAATAGTTTTAATCCCTTGGGCTATTTTTTGGAGAATTGTTTTGATTTGAGCATGAAAAGATAAACTTGAATCAAGAATTATGCCTAAATATTTGCATTCTGATTTTTTGGCTACATAATGCCCACTAATTACTAGTTTATCAGTATCCACATTTTTGCTATCTTTTTTGACAAAATGTTATAAATTCCGATTTAGATGCATTCAGATTCAATTGGTTCTCTGCAAGAAATTCCGTTAGATTATTGAGTGATTTTTGCAATCGACTCAAAGCATCCTCAGAAATTATAGAAGAGGAAAAAACCATACAGTCGACAGCATATTGAACTAAATTACAACCTTCATATAATCGCTCTTGTATGTCATTAACATATAAATTGAACAACAACGGACCAAGTACCGTTCCTTGTGGGACACCTCGTTTTATTTCAATCTAGTCTGAAAAAATTCCATTGACGTTTACTCTTTGAATACGTTTGTTTAGGAAGCTAGCAATTAAAGCATTTGCTCCATTTGAAAAACCGAGGAAAAGCATTTTTTCAATTAAAACTTCATGCGAAATAGAATCAAAAGCCTTGGACAGATCTAATAAAGCTGCAAGCTGCATGTAAGATTTTTTTTGAATCTATTTGATTTCAAATACTTTCTGTCGAATAAACAAGAGCATCTTGTGATGAAACGTTTTTGCGAAATCCGAATTGAAATGGTGTCATTATTTGAAATTTGTCAAGATGTTCTGTTATTTGGGCATGTAAAACTTTTTCAAAAATTTTAGAAAAAGCACAAGCTATTGATATTGGCCGATAATTTTTTGCATCCATTGGGTCATCTTTTTTAAACAAAGGGGTTACGTGTGCTTTTTTCAGTTCGATCGGGAAAATGTTCTCATCAAAGCAAGTATTTATGACAAAAGTTAAATGTGGAACTATAACTGATTGACCGTCAATGATTGCCCAAGCAGGTACGGTACAATATCCGAGAGGTTTTCTAACATTGACTTTTCGAACTATATCAAAGCATTGCTTCACTGTAATGTGTTGAAAATGGAAAGGTGCAGATTCAGAGGCAGATTTGTTGTAAATCGGAGGCTTTTTAGCGCCGAAAAATTCGCCTAAGTTTGAAAAAAAAATAATTTAAATGATTGGCGGTTTGTTTTGTCTTGGGTTATCATTTCACTGAAGGAATTTCGTAGAACTGTAATTCGATTGTTGCCAGAACATGTACCTCTAACTTGGTTAATATATTTCCATTTTTTCTGGATAGTGCTGAGAAGTGAAAACAATTTTTTGAATGATCGAGTTATGTACTTCTAATCAATTGGCTCATTTGATTACGTAAAAACTGGTACTTTGACCAATTATCGCTTGTGCTTTGCCTGCGATATGCTCTGAGTGAGTTCTGTTTCTTAATCAACAATTGCTGACATTCTGAATCGAACCATTCCGTTTTCAACTCGTTTTTTGGTTTAAAATTACGAACACATTTTTTTTCGATAGGAGCTTGTTGCTGTAGAGCACTAGAAATTAAATAAATCATCGTCGAGAACATGTTTTGTGCGTCTGTACATTGATATAAGAGATACCAAGGAAGAGCGGAGAGTGTATTGCAAAATTCATTTTTCTGATAACTTTTCTTATTGAAAGTCGAAATTATCCTCGGTAAAATTTTGCCGCATTTTATATCCGTCAAAATAAATGAAGCAAAATGGTCGGTTTTATAAGGTGTATGAAAACAAAATTCAATGTCGTTTGTTTCATAGTCACTGATAATGTAGTCGATATGAGTTTTAGTTGAGGAACTAATTCTGGTCTCATCGTTTGGACAAAAAACCTTCAATCCATATGGAATAATTATAGAATCTAAATTTTCTTTTTCTTTGCTATCCAGATAATTTCTGATATAATCACCCAGAAGCGTAATTTTGTTAGAAACTGAAAATGCATTATATATGTTAAGCGTTAATTGTTCCAAAAAAATCAATAAAGTTTGATCTGCTTGGATTATAACACAAATTAACTAACATTTTTTCTTTGCTGGAAATGTTAAATGTAGATTTGCACTCAACCCACACTGACTCATATTTTTCTTTATCAAATAAATTTAAATCAGATCTCAATTTCGGAGCCAATTTGACTGGTATATATAACAAAACGCCACCGCCTTTCTTTTTTACCGCTGATTGCCTATCATAACACAACATCGCATGCGTTCTAGGGTGGAGATTCCATAAATTGTCACTATCTTCTTTTTTAAGCCACGTTTCGGAAATTCGTATAATTGTATTTTCGCCTATATCATCAAGAAATTTTTTCAATTGCATCCGTTTTCTAATAAGACTTTGAAAATTCAAATGAACAAATTTAAGATTTGCACAATTTGTTGAGCAGATACCGTAGACTGTTTCAATGGTTTCAAAAGGACCAGGGTTTTTTTCAAAATCCCTACTTTGGGTCAGTAACAACGCAAAAAGGAAAAAATAAGTCAGTGTGGTAGCTCTCCGCTCATTTATTCCACATTTCGATGATATTATCTTTTGATGGCAGCTTAGATAGCCCCAGTAAACAATGATTTTTTCTATATTATCCATCTGAGCCTTGGAAATTAGAAAAATTGCACAAAACAACCAGAATTTAAGATTCAGCATGATAAATTAAATAAATTAAATAATCGCCAAAGTTTGCACCAAAAAAAATGCGAAACTAGTGTTTCCTAAAGATTTTTGCACCGTTTTGGAAAAATTGTAACATTTCTGCCGTTTTTGTATCACAAACATGTCTAAACTCAAACATGTCAAGAAAACTAGCTCTATCAAAATGAACACTAGATTTGAAACAACCACACCAAAACATTAGAATGCATTTGATGTTATTAAAGCTTGCATAGAAAGAAAACTTACCCAGCTGTAAAAAAGCCAAAACCCTTAAAGCCGAAAAAAAAGTTATCAAGTCTTTCTCACCCTCAGCTCATCGACCGATGCAAAATGGCGCCACTAAATCGATATAAAACAAGACTGCTCGTATCAGGACGAAGCGCTGAATGTTCCGCCTGCCTTTTAAGGTTTATGGAGCAGTAATAACATAAAAAAGTTAAATGAAATGAAATAAAACGAAAATTTTTTTTCTAAAAAATGAAATTTTTTATGAAAATCATCACCCCACACGCCATATAAAGTACAAAAAGATAGATTTTGTTCCTTGTAACAAATCAATTATGATAAATAAGCTTCGTTCAACCAATTTGGAACGATTTATAAGACGGATTAAATCTCCGCTTAGGCGTCAATAGCGCGACTTATATCGCGCGTTAATTGTCCTAAATTGGTCAAAATGGCCGAAATGGCAATCTTTAAACCCTCATAACTGTACGAAAAATGATCACAGGTAAAATGTTTTTTCAAATTTAAGCTCAGGATAACAATGGCTTTCGAATGATATAAAAAAATTCCGTCAAAATTGGCTAGTTAAAAAGTCGAAACTTGTCTGAAGAAAAAACCCACCCCGAGCACAAATATTCCGTTACTTTCGTATCGAATTTCGGAACAATAAGCTGAAATAAACTCAGCCAAAAAGGAAAGAAAAAAACGACAAAAGTCAAAAAACACTCATCCAAAAAAGAAAAAAAAACCGACAAAAAACAGAAAAGACAAAAATTCTATGTCTTAAGCTCTAAAAGTTCTTAACTTCCCCTCAACCTCAAAACACACGCACACAAAAAAAAAAATCCGGTCGTCTAACACCACAATACGATGCCAGTAATAAGCCGATATCAAATTGCCCAATAATTATAAAACCCTAAAAAAGGGCAAGAAAAAAAACAAAGGAAAAAGTTAATAAACTTACAACCAACATAAAAGAATATTTCGAATAGGACAGATATTTAAAATGGTAACATTTACAAAAAATGCCTGTTGCGGTAAAGTTGTTGCCAAAAGAGGCTTTTAGGAAATGAGTCCTGCGAACAAAGATATTTATGGGGGAATAGCCTAGTACCCGTTTGCAACACAAATTCTTGCTTTTTAAGAAAAGTATCAAAAAACTGATTTTTTTAGCCGAACGAGATTCGACACTGAAAGAATCCGAAGACGCGCAGAACAAACGAGAACAAGAAAAAGCGACTCTCGAAGCATACATCGTCAACAATGAACGACGCCAACGCCAACTCAAAACCGAAAGCAGAGACATCAGATTCGAAAACCAAGACTTAGAAAACCAAATACAGGAGAACAAAATTGCCCGTGACGCTGATAGTAAAAATATGGAGCGACTTTACAAGGAAATCGAGAAAACGGAAGCCGAACGAGATAAAATTCGAGACTTATTTTTCGAATTGGATCTTAATAACAAAACATTGACTCAAAAATACGCCGAAATTGAAGAAAAGTCGAAAGAGCGTGAACAAATTTTAGACGAGCAAGTTGAAAGTTTAAACGCGCAAGTTCGAGACGAGGTTTCAAAACGCGGACAAATTCAAACAAATATCAACGCTGAAAAAAACAATTTGGTAAATTTGGAACTTGATCTGAAAAAACAGGAGGAAAGAATGGAAAAGAAAGCGGAAGAGGTCGAGGCTGCAGTTAACAAGGTCACGGGTCAAGTGGAAAAAATGCGTGAAACAAATGAAGTTCGACAAAAACAACTTCAGACTCTAAAAGACGCTTTGGAAGAATTGCAGAAAAAACACCACGAGATGGAAACAAAACTAACCGATAAAAAATCAAAACTGAAACCAAAACTGGAAAAACTGAAAGCCGAGGATTTGGAGGTCAGTAAACAACTTGATCAAATGGAATACGCGACTGAAAAACTGACCGGAGAACTCCGAGAAATGAAATTAGGTTCAATTCACTTGAACAAAGTTATGAGAAATACTAAAAATAGTATCGAAGACTTGACTGTTGAACTTGCAGAAACGAGTATCAAAATCACCGAAAAAAAGAGAATCATCAAAGATTTAGAACAATCACTCGCCGATATGTCAGATCGACTTAAAGAATGCAAAGATGATTTCAAATCACTGCACAAAGATCGCAAAAACTTCCACATAAGAATGCAAATTGAGCTAGAAAACCGTGTAAAGGAAAACGAAAATTTAGCCGACGAATATTACGCTCAGAAGCAACAACTCTTCGCGATGAAAACGGATTATAACTCTGTTTATCAACAACAAGTTGAATTTGAACAAGTTCTAAGATGTCTCCGTCAAGTTGAGTTCTTGCAAGAGAGGTTCATAAGAAACCTGAAAGAATTCTTCAAGTATCGAAATTTGTTCTACTGCGCTGAAATTGAAGACATAAAACGTGAACAAAACATCACCGAAGATAAACTTCAAGAAGTCAGGGTAGAAATGGAGCTGGCACTGGGAAAAATGTCCAAATTCCTAGCTGGAATGATGCAAGGATCTATAATTGACGAGTTAAAGCATGAAGAGTTGGAGAAAATTGAGTCTAAGGAGAATTCTGATTTGGGTACCATTGATGAAGGGAACGAAGACGAAAGCATCAAAGACGGCGGAACTATTTTCATCACTCAAGCAGATGCATTCAGTACGCCTCAAACTCTGAGTCACTTCAAAATCTTACCGCCAATTAACAATGGACTGAAAAGTGATGAACAACCTATGCCAGTTTGCTAAATTTATAAGTTTTCTTAAAAAAAAAACAGATCAATCAAATTATTCTATAATTTCCGAAATATAATCTTAACTCACAAACAGACTCTTTTTACTGAAATTTACAGAACGATTGACCGTAGAGCAATAGCAGCGCATTTTTGTTGTTTTCGGTCACCGCCAAATGAAAATATTCCATCTACTCCACGAAAAAAAAACAATTACAGTATCAACAGAACTTATCTCGGATCGTGGCTCTTGAACTATGGCTCTTGCCTAAAATAATGGAAAAATTATGTGAAAACTTCAATTTATATCTAACAATTCTTTGATTAGTTTTCTGCTAGAACGAATAGTATTGTCGAATGGAATTCCATAGCCGATATTTTCCCAAAAAATGGACCGCCGCCGAAAGGCTTATACAATTCAATGGAAGCAACATTGGAATATTTTTTCAAGCTGTATATTTGAGAACTATTATACAGCTCTATCTATTCTACTTTAGTATTTCATTTCTTTCTCTGTGTCTTTTTATCCGTCAATTTAATCCGACCAACCATTCGCTAAGACTGATTTTTGTAAATATCTCCGAAGTAATATGTATATATCAGTTGGTGGTACTCGTTACGTGTTTTATCAATTCGTAAATTTGACTCGACCATACAACTCGAATACCATTGCATTTATTAGTCTACCTTTTATCGTCAAATCTCGCTGTCTTTAGTAATTCTCAGCCGAGTTGTATTTTATAAAATGCATTTAACAAGTTCTAAATCTTTGCTTATAGCATACAACACTGAGAATAGGCTGTGTATAAATTATTCTAACATTGAGAAAAAAACTGGATATTAAAAACGACTTCCAGTAGAAGAAAACGATTATAGCAACGAAAAATAATGGTATCCCTTCAATGTTTTGATCTCGAAAATATCAAAAAAAAGCAATTTTTAGACTTCGTGATAACTGATATCGGAACCTTCAAGATCTCTTTTTATGATTTAAGTCCGGTATTGTGAATAGACCAGTCGATGGTTTAGTAGATAGTATCGCTTCTCGGCCTTTTGGCTAAGATCATGTGTAGTATCTGTTCTTGTCAGCTTAATATCTGGCATGCTGGGCATTGCCTGGCACCAATACTAAACTGATTTTTGACTTTCGGACTCGGCAAGGAAGCTTGCTTCAGCCGGTCCACGGATTGTCCCGGTCTTACACTACCGCCGGGTACGGTCCATCCCCAATGAACTGAACTTTAATATCATTTACACCTTCCACTTACCTTTGGAATCTTGAACTTCCAGAGTGGTGTAACGGTAGTACCAAAGGGAGCTTCTGATACGAGGTCTGAATCAAATGTTCTGAAAACGGGTTGCTTCTCGTTCAAAATGAGATGTCAATGATCTAGCTTGCCAGATACAGATTGAACTTCAACTTTTAGCTACTATCACATAAGAGACGAAGCGGAGCTTAGTAACACTTATGGTGACAAGCTAGCGGATAAAAAACGAGAAGAATGCCACTTGATTGAAAAAAACTGTCTCTAATTATGCTCAATGCTAAGGTAGTAAAGGCTTGAGTACAGATTTCTTAAGCCAAAAAATTTGGCCCAGAAAGCTTTCAGCAAAAAAACGACGTTACTGAAGACTGTGCTAAACTAAAGCTTGAAATTCAAGTTGTATATTTTTAAATGCTTATGTTAACGGAAATTATTTCCGTCAATTGCTTTAGTGCACGCTCTGCAATCCCGGGTTGACCAAAAATGCTAATCATACAATTTTCATATCTGAAAAAATGCTTGTCATACACTTTTGTAAAATTCCATAGATACAGAAATGTAAGAAAACTCTAAGATAAGCATTTTTTCATTTATGGAAATTGTAGGACAAGCATTTTTTCATAAACCAAAAAGTTTTTGATTTTTTAAAAATTTTACTAGCGAGTCAATCGCACCTCCGGCGCTATAAAACCAAGTCTTCAGAAAACAGACAAACCAAAATTCTAGAAAAATAAAAGGATTTAAGCGGTCATACGTGGACTCCAGATTTGCAACCCCTGAATGTACATTGACAGCACCTCACTATAAGGTTGAGAAATTGATGTTAGGTTAACTTTTCTTACATCTAATTTTTTTTATATCTAAATTTTTGGAGAAAAAACATGAAATCATAAAAAACGCCATTCGAAAACCAAAAGGACTTGATCAGTTATACTCGGACTCTAGATTTGCAACGCCTGAATTTACCCTGACAGCACCCCACTATAGGGTTGAGAAATTCAAGTTCGGTTAGTTTTTTGTATCAAAATTTTTTTATATCTAAATTTTTTTTAGAAAAAAAAGATGAAAAAATCATAAAGCGCCATATCTCCAAAACCAAAAGGATTTGAGCTGTCATAAATGGAGTTCAGATTTGCATCTTCTGAATATATCCTGACAGCACCCCACTATTTGATTGAGAAATTGAAGTTCGGTTAATTTTTTTTATATCTAAGTTTTTTTGAAAAAAAAAGAAAAAATCATAAAAGACGCCAGATCTCGAAAAATAAAAGGATTTGAGCAGTCACACTTAACGCCAGATTTGCAATCCCTAAATGTACTTAACAGCAACCCACTATATAGGAATGTATAGAACGTATGTAAATATAAAAAGTTTCAAATCTTGCAATTTTTCGGCCTATTAAGAGACCAACAGACTTAAACATGCGCCAAACGAAATTTCTTAAGCGTTTTAACCTACTTGCAAAATATTTAAACTTGCAAAAATATTTTCGTTAAATATGCAAGAAATAATACGTTGAAAAAACTTAAACATGCAAAAATAGAGACTTCTTTAACACGTCAACATAGGGACTTTTTAAACATGTGTCACGTGAAACGCCAATTAAATAATACTAGCATGTAACGCACCTCCGGTGCTTCGAATTTATGACAACTCACAAGAACGGCATATATTGGGAATAATATTTGCATCCTTTGAGTGTACTCTGACAAAACCGAAGTATTACACAGGGTCGGGGGGAACTTCAAATTTTGAGAAAATTCAAATTGAAGTTTTCTAATTTTATTTTTGAAAACACCACGGAAAATGCCATATCCCAAAAACTACGAAAAATTGAGCACTCATATTTGGTCGAACGATTCGCAACCCCTGAGAGTACTCTGACAGCCTCCATTACAGAAATGAGAATTTCAAAATTTGAAAAAAAAAACTAAATTTAAGTCTTCTGAAAATTTTTTGAAAAAATCACAAAAAACGTCATATCTCGAAAAGTACAAGGATTTGAGCAGTCACAATTGGAGGAAACCGCAACCCCTTGTAGTACCCTGACAGAGTCTCACTGTAGAGATGAGAACTTCAAATTTTGTGAATTTTTCTATATCTAAGTTCTTTGAAAAATTTAGAAAAAATCTTGAAAACCGTCGTATCTCCAAAACTACAAAGATTTGAGCAGTTATATTCAGAGGCAAGAGTCGCGAGCCCTGAGAGTACCCTCACAGTTTCCAATAACTGGATTGAACAGTTCAAAAATTTATCGAACTTTTTAAAATCTACGTTTTTTTGAAAATTTGAAAAAAATCATAAAAAACGTCATATCTCGAAAACTACAAGGATTTGAGAATTGAGTTTCAGAGTCCAGATTCGCAACCCCTGAGAGTACCCTGACAACACCCAACTACAGTGTTGAGATTATTTTGTGCAATCTTTTTCAAGTTACTTTCTTTGGAAATTTTTGAAAAACCTCGAAAATTGCCGTATCTCGTAATCTAAAAAGATTTGGTAACTCATATATGGAGGCCAAAATCGCAACACCTGGAGAAGCCCTGACAGCATCCCAATATCGGGTTGCAAATTTCAAACTTGGTAAAACAAACTTTGAATTTAAACTGGAAAGTCGAAAAAAAAGATCTTAACCATTGCAATATACGATATAGCTTCAACATGTAAAAATAATACGTTGAAAAAGCTTAACCATGGCGAGATAGTGAAGCCCGCATTTAAATATATAATATATATAGATAGATAGATAGACTTCTCAAAACTTTTGGGATGTGTTTGTGACCGAACTCAAGTGACTAAAACCATGGTTTACTCAAAACTAGAGTCACCAAAGTGTTGATCGTCTGGCACTTACAATGCATTGGAAACGACCTGACTTGTGAAAGAGTTCTCGTTACAAATCATATATTGAAAGCACCGATTAAATTTTTAAATTTTGGCCGAATTGTGATTGGCTAAACTAGTATTTGTCAGCTTACTGACAAGTATGAATACGCGGTTGTCCAAATACAGACCGCACTCCGATAAAGTGGTCCCACGAAAAAGCAACTATGATAGATAGGTCCCGCATGCATTTCGCATGTTAAAATTTTGAAAAATAATTTGTGTATAAATTCATTTCAGTAAGAAAATGTTCAGATTAATAATACTATCTAGTTTCTATCAAGAAATATGCTCGCTTCAATTTATTTTACGGTTAAATAACTATAATTGGGTTGACTTATATGTCATCACAGCTCAAAGTTAGCGGTCCTTTAGGATTTTCCACCTTCAAATAATGAAGAGGGAGGTTCTACTAGAGTTGGCATAGTACCGGTACTAGTACATGTACTAGTACGGTGCCCAGGTTGAGAGGTACTAGTACCTTGCCAACACGGGGGTCAATTTTTACATTAATTTCGCTCAGTATTTGTCAATTTTTACCTAAATTTCGATCAGCATTTGCAAAGCTATTTAAGTATTCGTTGATTGGAAATTGCTTTTCGTGTTTTCATGGTTTTAACTCTGTTTTTCTTAGTGCTTTTGATAAAATCAATTATCCAAATAATTCTTATAGGCCAAGGACCGAAGACGTAATTAGCCGAAAGTCAATTTTTATAAAGAAACAATTGCCATTCAGTTAAAAAGAACTAGCGTTTGACGCACCTTCGGTGCTTCGAAATTTTTGGACAGCTCATGAAAAACCGCATACATTGGAAACAACATCCGCAAACTTTTAGTGTACTCTGACTGCACACAATTACAGGGTTGGTAATTTCGAACTTTTGAATTCCCATTTAAAAAGCGTTATCTCGGAAAATTAATGGGCCTCTGGA